AATTCATTTTTCTTGGCAAAGTATTTAATTTCTCACATTCTTACATTCATTATCATTATCAAAATTCAATCATTGCATCGAATCATCGTTTTCTCATGAAAAGCTTCGAATTTACCTACTTAATTTTCGGTAACTCTTGCAATATATTTTCCTCAGTGTCAAACCTTCTTTTGCCAATTAAGTTCCTGAATAAAATTCTCGTCTCATACGAGAGAATAGAACGCAAATTAATTAAACGAGACTACGTTTGTTGAAGGACTTTTATAAGACACCCTGTATGCGACAGTGTGTACGTGCGTATTCTCTCCGTTCTCGTAATATAGAGATGCCGATGGAAAAGTTATATTCCACGTGCCCTGCGGGGTTTCGACATTCCGTATACCTTGCGTATCTCGCCGTTGCAGCGATCCAAATAAAAATTGACTCAGCAATAACCGACGAGATTGGCACATTATTGAGCGTAAGAGTTGTACCATATTGACACGAGAAATATTTAGATATCTTATATTTTACTTCTAACATTGAATACTTTTCAAACATTAGGAAAAATTATCAAATATCGATATTAACATAATGTTATATCGTGATAATTATCATCATTAAGTTGACGTCTAGAAGAACTCGATAACGAGAACATTATCATTTGAAAAATTTTTCTTACCATTTATAAACTCGGCATTTTAAACTCTTTATATTATTCTGCGATATTGCATTATATGCGTTGTTCAGAATTTATAATTTCGTAATACTGAAGATGACCTAATTTAAGGTCGAAACGTTTATTTTTCCAATTGTTACATAATTAAAATATAAAAAAATTTTCGCTACGAACATCTTGCGTTGTGGTATATACCGTTAGATTTTCTCGTTTCGATAACGAGATATGGCCGAAATTAGAATATCCATTTAATAGCAGAGATTGAAATTTATTAACATTGATTATTCTAATCCCTGCTGCGTGGAATCTCTGTATCAAAACATTAACATCATCCACATATTCATCCTCGAGATGTCCGACCACTTAGGGTTATCCGCTTAGCTTAGGGTTACAAATTCTCCAAATGAAAAGCTCCTGCTGTTTGCGTAAAAAATCGCTATTCTCTCATCACATCCACGTGCATTCCACGTGCGTCCGTTGAGCTCTCGAGCTCTCGGAAGAATAGCGCGCTTCACGGCGGAATTTCGTTCCGCGATTTACCGTTGTACGTGCGCTCAACGTCAAAGGGGAATCCCGCGAGGAAGCGCGGAAGGGTTCGCGCGATATTGCGGATACACGTGAGGTGTAAACGTGCCCCGCTGTTGAGAAATAGCGCGCCCGAGGTAGTCGTCTCGCGAGGTCGCCGTCGGTGCTAACGGTATTATATCTTTCAGATACGTACGTCTGCATATATGCCTAAAGGCGGATGTATACAGATACAAGTCACATTTGTAGAATTGGACGTATCATCAATTGAATATCGTGTCGTAACGATATTCAAATCGTTCGATGATGCGTGCACGTAAAGCGAGGAAAAAGGATATTGTCTATGTCGTATCCTTCAATCCTTTTCCTCACCATTCAATGTTCTCTCTCATCTCTCTTCATCAATGACTGGGTAAATGATTGATCGACGCCTGAACGATTATATATTTGGTTGAACAAATTTGCTGACACTAACCGATGTAATAAACCGTAACGAATTAATTATATTTTAAAAGGAGAGGTTATAGAAATCGATAATCCTATGACGGGAAATATGATTGTTATCGATGATTTTTGTAATTTGTGAAATATTTTCTTCGTTCTCGGTTATCTATATTGAATCTTTCTCTTTATGTATCTTTCCTCACAGTTTATATGACTAACAATAAGTAACATTTCTCAAATAGAAAGCTCTAAAACTTGATTATGTAAGAACAATATAAATATTTCATAATTTATTCAAATAAGCAGAAAAATAAATTTCAAATGAAAAATGCAAAGTGTTTTATGGTATTTTTAAAGTAGATAAAATTGTTGTCCGGATTTTTATTTATTTATTGAAATAGGCGAGATATTTCGGAAAAAAATCAAAACTGATAAAATATTAGAAATATTTATCTGTATCTAATAAACAACATGTGATACTACTTGTGTAATATTGATTATTCATAATGTTGAAAAAAAATGTTTAGCATCTGGAGTATTAACGAAAATTCTTTAAAATACTTATAATATGATCAGAGATTTATCGAAATCTCTGTAACGAATAAATCTCTGTCAATCTGTTTTGGTTGCCTTTACGCGTCCATATTCTTATCTCGTGTTTGCGATGTTACGATGGCTCTTTAACATGCGAGAAGAAATCCTGACATTCATCGTCTGGCATTAATAATGATCCCCATGGTCAATACTATCTTTTCCATATCTTAAAAAATTTTTTTAATTCATTTTGAAAAGTTGACCAACAACCAACGATTTATCATAGTAATTTTAAAATATTAAAACATAAACTCTTTAACGAGAATTGCTTCATGTTTCTTAAAATCTGATTGAGATGATAGTATGAAGTATCGTTTACGATCAATTGCGGCGTACCGAGCTGTTAGCTGTATTTGAGTCTGTATTTCTAGAAACATAATAATCACGTCGCGACATGCGGTGAAAGTGTGCGAAAAGAAGCTCGGAAACAGTGCCGGCGCGTAAAAGTAACGTATGCGTCACGTGACAGGTTCAAGACAATGATGACGAGAAAGGGAACGAAGAAGAGCGAGAGATGCGAACAATAAGGAAGACATGCTAAATTCCCCATCCTCGAATATGGACGGGTATACGTCCGAGAATGCCAATAACAAATATCTCCGCGTGAAGCGGAGATTACACGCGAAAGAGAAAACATGGTAATGAATGCCGTTTTGTGGCATTCATTATGGAATTGTACCTAAAAGAAGCTTTCGTAACGCATAAGATATCCTCGAGGAAGAGCTTAGCAAGCTTCGGTTTTTCCTCGAGAAAGTCTCAAGGTGATATTTTTTCTCTGATTCTATTAATTCTTTTTAATTATGTACTTTTTTTTAATACGTGATAAAATAATGTAATAAATAATATTTTCTTCTTCTTTTTCTTATGTTATAAGAACTCTGACCTGTTACATTTCTCTCATATGCTTGTGGTGCGCACGCTGATTATTTAATTGTCACGAGCAGACAGTTTTAATGCCGATTCCGAACGGCGGATTTTTCAAGAGGTGTTTCTATGAGTAAAGATACTCTCGAGAGGTTGCTGGCCTTTTCCGAGAGGAGACACGAACGTAAATATTTTGGTTTCTACTGGGATCGAATCTGGGACCTCTGGCATGATAGACCAGTGCGTTGTCTGCTATACCACGCTTTCACGCTCATAATAAATAATATAATATAATAGAATAAATAAAGTGATAATTTATAATTAATTAATACATACGTATATAATAACAAGAATAGAAATTGCATTACATTATCGCATCGGTAATAAAGATTAATGGTACAGATTCGCGCTGTCTTCCATTTTGTTTAAACAATCTTTTGCATTTTCTGTAGACTTTTACGTTCGATATTATTTCATCGCGTGAATGTTTCGTAATTTATTGAATCCGGAATAGCATTTAATATAGAAAGACGGTAAATGTGTTGCGCGCAGAATCTCTAAAAGAATTTCGCCGTTTTACGAATTTCGCGAATAATAGCGAACGCGACGGCGGCGGCGGCGATCGTTCGAAATTTTGCCGCTGGCGATATTTTGCGGTAACTGCGAATTAATTCAGAGCACGTACAAGAGCCATCAACGGCCGCCTACTCGCGCACATTTCCTCGGGCACGGTAACTACCTGCCACGTTATGATAATTAAGAAGCGAATCGCGCGAGCACCGCGGCTATCAGTCGGGATAATCGAGTGTCACCGACGAAATTTGACGGTGGCCTAATACCATGTCGTCGGATTCTACGTGAGATTTGTTATCGAAGTCGTGGGATTTACATAATTTGTAGAATCATTCACTAGTATTCACAGAAATTGAGATGTTTGAATTTGGGTCGGCATACATATGGAATCTTTTTTTCACTTTATAACTGTGATTGATTATTGATCTTAAGATCAATGATGTAGATTATTACTATGAGAAACGCAAGACATGTGACAAAATCTCTACAAAGTAATAGGAGGAGACGGTATATAAGTTAATGTTAATATTAACGAAAAGAAAATGAAAAATGATTATATATACATATATAGTATAGGAAGTCACATCATTTTTCATTTTTTGTTAATATTGATATTAATTCATACATTATTTCCTATTCTAGACATGAACAACGATAAAGAAATATTATATATTATTACATTGAACAATATTATATTTATTGATATATTAGAATATATGCTTATATATTATCGCTGTCATTTATAAACGTCTAATGAAGCCGTACACGTGACATGTTGCAATAGTCAGTCTGAATCAGTTCCTACATACAGTCGTCGACTATGACATAAGCACAATACGTACGTACATCAAATGACATGTTGTCAATTTACATAACGCATCTCCGATTCGTGAATGATAATTATCGCGTTCGTTGTAGCGAGAAGAGAACACGAATCGACGCATTTCCGAGGCCGTGCCCGATCCGGTCGACGTTTCCCATTTATTTCCGCATTCTGTGATGATTATTAAAGAGATATCACATCGCGTTTTTCCAGTAAATCGATATCAGAGAAAGTCATGTGTCTCCACCGCGACGATTCCCTTTCCTATTTTCGTAATGCCTTTGAAAATTGCCAACTCCATCGAACGGCGATTTGTCGAAAATTATCGGCGTTACGTAAGGACCGTCGATGCAATCGCGAATTTCTTCCTCCGCACTCCGGTTACACGATAAGATTTCCTAAGCTTAGCCACGGTGCAGAAGTGTGCAACGTGTAATTTTTTTCGTCATGTAAAAAATTTATATTACGATTATTTTTTTATGATAAAGATTTTACGAAATGTATATTTCATTTGCGCAGGTGCAAAGGCTCGCCGATTACGAGAGGTACCTGGGACAAGAAGCAAGGAGCTTGATAGATAGTGAGTGCATTGACAGCGGGTCGGTCCTCCATCGTGGACAGTTAGAGGGTGACCTTCATCGTATTCAAGAATTGTTCCCCGGTGACAATTTGCGGCTGCACGAGCGAGACGTTGTCACTACGGTACGACACGTATCTCATTGACATAAAATAAATATTTTTTGCCATCTAATATATTAGGTCATTTAAAAAGTATCCGCGGTTTTTTGTTCAATTTTTGAATGAAAAAGACCGCGGATACTTTTTAAATGACCCAATAATTCCCAAAGATACGATCAGGACTTCAGTGAAAAATCGCGACGGTGATAAAAATGTTTATGCAAAGCAGCCTTATTATTTTTCTCGTGAAAAATGTATACGAGCAGCGACAAACGATGCAGACGAACGGTATCGCGGACAATGCGCCTTGTAATTCAGTCTTTCTCACGGTCGTTTAGACGCATCTCGTTTTTCTGCGTCCGCGAAAAATGCTCGCGTGTCGTCGGCGTGGATACGCACTTCCTTCCCACGTTCATTCGCATATCCATCGGATATGAGCGTATATCTGATAATTTCTCTCAGCTATATTTTTACCCGACTTGCCCGCTGATTGTTGCGAACGGTGAAATTGACGGCGTGTCGTTCGTTCAATAGAGTGCTCACTTTCTGTCAGCACAAAAAATATATGGAAACAAACTAGAAACTATGCCACCGAGATAGAGACTGGCAAATGACAATGGAACGTACTTATATTATTTCCATGAAAAGCACGTCATTCTTTTTTTCGTACAATAACGGTACAAATACAGGGAAAGTTAATATTATAAAGAAGTAAAAAGAGTCTTATAAAAAAAAGGACTTTGCTTCTTTAGATTCCGATATCGTTGAATCACGATTTTTCTTTAATATCTCAATATATAATATATTTTGTCTTACGTATTTCGAAATTATAAGATCAGCTTTTTTCTTGTACGTCGTGGAGTACAAAAATTACGGGCGTAATATTATTACGGTAGAAATAACAATCACTCAAAAAATTACTTTTCGTATTTCTATATTCAAGGAAAAACATTTGCGCAGTTGTATTTTTATCCCATAAAACATTCGTGTCTATTGGTAATCACTCGAAACTTTCGCTGTTAAAATCCTCGGGCGATGCACTTTCCAATGCTATAAAATATAAATGATAGATAATCTACCTGACGCGTTGGACGTATCAATGCCTTGTCTGGGTTTTTATGCGTTAACAACTCGATGACAATGAGACGCGAAGGTGTCTGTTACTATCCAATCGGCACCAGAAGTGATTTCGTAAAAAAGAATGGCGAGTGAAAAATAGAGAACGTTGGACCATGTCAGAGAATCTAATAAGCCCATGTATGTTAATCTGTCCATTCGCTATGAAAGCACTCGCTACTTTCGCTTGTAGCACACCTTAGAAACTCGCCGGCCAAATTTGGTAGTGACATTTTTCAGGCGCAGCTTAAACGCGATTAAATGCGATGATAAAATTAGCATGCTCTAAGCCCTGCGAAATTCCCCGATCGAATCGTTACAAGAGGAGCTCTAAATTTGCATTTAGATTTTGTCATTTAGATAATCTAACGTAAAAACTTTTCCTCTTTCTTTCTATGAAAAAAAGATTAAATATATTTAGATGCCAACAAATGCGAATTATATCGAATTAAACATTTCTTTTTCTAGAAATAACTTTAATCATTATTAGTCGTACGTTAAATTTTAATCTAATTTGTTTTCAGAAAACAAAAAATATGTTACGTAAAAGAAATGGTAGTACTCCAGTCAGGCTAACAAGAGGACTTTCTCAAAAAACTCTGGATACCACGGATAGTACTTCATCTCCAACGAAATCGCCGACTAGGACTTTTCTTTTGGAAACGCCAGTTCAGTTCACCACGGTACGAAAAGCTTCAGGAAGTGATGAAAATTAAAATATGCACATACATTTGGATATTTTAATGAAGATTAAGACTTGATTAATGTTAAAGCGATCGGATTTTAAAGACTTGTTGATTTTAGGGCATGCAATCTCAAGAAAGGCACCTCTTCCTCTTCACTGACCTTTTGCTTATTGCGAAAGCCCGTAGCAGCGGGAACTTTAAACTGAAGCAAATTGTAAAAATGAGTGAGCTCTGGCTCACGGCCGGTCACATAGAAGACGTGGCAGAAACCAGCAAATCCGCTGAAACCAGCTTCGTCATTGGCTGGCCTACTACAAACGTTGTAGCGACTTTCATGTAAACAGGCTTTTTTCCAAAACCAATATATCTTTATTATATTCAAAATTGAATATAATGATTAAAATCTAAATGTTAAAAATCAGTAGTAGTTTTGGAAAGCTTACAATAATTATCATTATCATGGTGAAATCATCTTTACAGGACCGCCGCAACGCGAGATCTCTGGTGGGGACGTTTGAGTGATCTCGTGCAAAAGGAGAGCATGAAGGAGCCACCAGAGACGAACATTCAAGTCGTATATCATGACAACGACACGCACACCGACTACGTAAGTATGCTCCGTCTTTTCACGCAAAAGCGGATACATTCACAGTCACGCCTTCGTACAATCCATTCTTTGCGAATACTCGAATCCGCGGGATTTAATCATTCGACATTCCTGATAATATTTTTCTTCATGAGAGGTATCTTTTTTGTATCGCAAACGTCGGTGCCGAGTTAGAATCGCTATGTGCCGGCATTCATCTTCAATCATCGTAATTCATAATTCATCGACGTTGTATAAATGTATAAACTACTTGGATCACGAATAAATTTCCGTTAGATAAACGCTGTCTATCGTCGGTAAACAAATTTCAATGAATCGCGCGTCGTATTATTCATTCCTTTGTAATCTGGAGAGGGAAAAATACATATGTGCTATTTTTCGCATCTTGTAGTTCAAGACAATCAAGGCCCGTTCCGACATGACAGCGCATGACTGCGTGAAGGAAGCGACACCGCTGTGGGGTCTTCAAGGACCCTTCCAGCTTTGGGCTCGAACGTTCCCAGACGAACCACCATATCCGTTGATAGGACACGAGCGACCATTCGCCGTGAAGATGTCACGTTTACGACATATGCTATCGACAGATGAGGGTTTCGATCTGGTGCACATCAACAATAGCGGCGTCGACTTGTGCCACTTCATTCTCAGACCCGTGATGAAGACACCCGCGAAGAAGAACAATCGGTCGAAAATAACGGGCTTACTGCGTCGCTCGTTGTCGTTAAATACAAACCTTTTTGGTGTACCTCTATCACGATTGGACGAGAATGGCCTGCCCAAACCCGTTCTCGTGATGTTACAGCAATTATTCGCGAAAGGTCCTTTCATGCAGGGAATATTCCGCAAGTCCGCAAATGTTCGAATCGTTCGAGAGTTGCGAGAACAGATCGAGTCCACAGGAGATCCTAGTTGTCTAGAGGATGCTCCAATTATAGCAGTGGCAGCTTTGCTGAAAGACTTCTTGAGATCTTTGCCGGATCCTCTCTTGACCTTCCATCTATTTCCCCTCTGGATGGACAGTTTAAACACGCCGAATCCTGTCCAAACCATTAAAAGGTTTATTTATTTTTAGATTATAATTTATGTTAAAATTAAAATGATATAAATTTACGTCTTATCAAAATTTATATATTAATTATTACATTTGTTATTGTTGTTAACAAAATTATTTTTGATAAAATGAAACTAATTGGAAAAAATTTTCAGCATTTTAGATAGGCTACCGAGGGCGAATTTCACATTACTGTCGCATTTAATTTGTGTACTGCATCATGTGGCAAGGCGATCGAAACGTAATCTCATGTGCGCCAGCAATCTTGGCGTTTGCTGCGGTCCGAGTTTGCTTTGGTCCTCGAATCCGTCGGTGAATCAGAGTAGAGCGATTCCGACAATCACGGAAATGTTAATACGTCACTGTGAGGATTTGTTTGGCACCAGTGTCACGCAGCTTCTCGGAGAAGATACACGCAGCGACAGTGGAGCCGAGGAAAGTACCGACAGTCTTCACTGTAAGTATTACAATTACTATGTAATACAATTACTATGTATTATGCTGTTAAATTATTGTTAATTATATCAAAAGATATTAAATCAAAAGAAAATATTAAAATATTGGTTAAAACATTTTAATAATTACGTTATCCGTTATTAATAAGTCTCTTATGATGCAGCAGGTGGAATATCCTTGGACAGTCTGGAGCTAACAGAAGCACCACGTAGAGATCCTATGTCTTTGTCAAGGGACTCAGGCTTGACCTTATCAGATTGCCAATTATTCATCCCGGAATCGCCCGTAGGCTCAGAAGATTCTGCCCCAAATGCCCCATCGTCTACCAATTACGAGAAATCTTTTGCGAAAGAGGAGAAGTCTAATAATAAAACCTACATGCCAGTTTATAGATGCGGATGGGAGGAAAGATTGAATGGTTACGGATCCAGCAATCATAATCATACGAGTAATACAGAGCACAACTTCAGAGAGGAAAAGACCAACGGGTGTTACCCCAATCCGTCTCAATCATCTAATTTCCAACGGCAAGATTGGTTGCGGGCACAACTTAAAAGAACACCCAGAACGAACAAATTGGACGAACACGAGCACAGAAAAGAGAGATTTAATGACAAGGACACATATGATAGGGAGTATCTTAGACAGGACACGATGAAAGAAAATGTGGAGAACTGTAAGACTTATCGAAGCAGACAATTAAACGTAAGCTATGATATATTAACGGAGGATTACAATAATAAAAGCTTGCAACAGGACATCCGAAGCGCCGAACGGGTATCGATTCATGATTCGGAGCAGGATCTAACGAGTGGTGGCGATACACCTCGCTCTGGTAGCGATTGTTATGAGTTTAAGAAAGCTAAATCCTCCGAGGTACAATACGTGAGTCTGGAGTCACCAATGTCGGAAAAAGAGCGCCGTCGTCAAGCCCGCGACCGTGAATTATACGATGACTTTGTTAGAGTAAAGGCAATATATATGGAAGCGCTTAAATACTGCAAAAGTAAGGAATCAAATGGTGAATCTGACGGTAAAATTACATATTGCGATGAGAGGAGTCGATCGACTGAAGTTTATGGAACTTCGGATGTGAACGATTCCTATAAAAGTGTAGTCGACCTCAGCGAGGATGAACAGGAGGAAAGAACTACATGGCCAGACACACCGCCACCATTGCCGCCAAGGCTCAGACACCTGCCACCGGTGCACATGAATCTCGAGGACAGGCATAAAGTGGCGGGTAGGTCCAGGTCTCTACCACCGCCACCGCCTTATCGACCACCACCGCAACCTCGCGCTCCTATTACGACGAGGCATCTAGGATTCGGCAGATCCGTCGTCGACGATGAGAGCTATGTCTGAGAACAAATGTCGAATTCTCTACTGGTTCTTAATTATCGAATATATCTCTATTCCTCTCATTATCCCGGCGTGTATAATGTCTAAGTCGTAGAGTCGCTACGATGATTGAACCTAGTCCAAATCGAAACATGTATCGGGATAAAGAGATGGCGTTTTTAAATCGCGCCGTCGCGATTTTTCGTTAAGAGCGATGAGTACTTATCGTCCTTTTTTGATCAAACTTAGAGATAGCGAGATGAATGAAACAAAGTCAGACGGCGAAATGCAAAATTCGCTGTTTATTCATAACCGCCGATAATAGATCTTGGCCCGTGTTCTTGTCGCGTTTTCGATATTGTGTTCATTCGATATATATTTTGATTTGAATTTTTTGCATAAACAGACGAAACTTTGATTCAGATGAGACACATTTGGAAACATCACCCGAGTGGCCCAGTGTATCATTTTATTCTTGTTAATTTAATGAATTGTTTAATGAACAATAAGAATAAAATGACATACAAGGGGATTTAAACAGTATTTTCGAACGTAGCTATGGTAGTATCAAGACTAAACACTACGCTAAATCGAGAATTCGGGCCTGCGATTGTCATTCAGTGATTCAGGGTGCTTCCACGAGTGTTAATTCATATTATGTTAGTAGGTTTAATATTTGTATTTAGCTAACTAAGAAGCATAGACTAAACAAACGGACAATATATAAGTAATTCTTTTCTCACAAATAACGTTTATAAAAACATTAATGAGAGATGAATTTTCTATAAACATTCAAAGTTTTGTGAAAATACAATCTGATGCTGCTTGTTAGCGGCGCAATAAAAGGCACAATCATGCGCGCGACGATCATGTAACATTCTGTATTATATTTTTTATTTTTAAACAGAAAATCTTTTATTCTTATAAATTAATTTTAACGGATGCGTTCTTCAAACCGAGTGCCCTTTTCTATCGATGCAACAGCGCGTTTATGTTTTAAGTTTATGAAAAGCCAAGACCATGTTGTGGGAACAATCATAACGATGACGTTATGTAGAAGAGAACTCGTTTTCTAAAGAACATTGTAAGATATTTCGTTTTGCGCACTCATAACTGATATCAATTTAAAGCTGACTGTAAGTTAAGAAAGTTCACTTTTTTCTAGTGTCATTTTTTTTTTAATGGCTTTGTTAACAACGCATTAGTTGTGTTTTAACAAAATTTGTTTGACAAAATTATCTCTTCAATATTTTCTTTTTCAGATATGCCTATTTGCCAGATTTTTCCTTATTTGCATTGAATAATAATCTTCCTCGTAATTAACAATGATAAACTTTGTTTCTCTGACAATTGTAACATGATTTGTAATTATAAAATATTGTGTGCGTGAATACAATTATCTTCTAATACGATTATCTTCTTAACGGCTATAGAATACAAGAAGTGTTGAAGTGTTGTATACTATGCGACTTTGCCGTTCTTTGTATATATTAAATTGTAAACTCTGTCATCTTTTATATCATTGAACTTATGGTACAATGTGTAACACCCATAAGATATGTATACTTATCTAAATTATATATGTTATGCTATAAAAAAGCAAATATATATATATTTCATATTTTATACACTTACGGATGTTTTTCAATACTCCTTTGTTTTGTGTGACAAGATTACATATATAATTAATTATATTACAAAAATATTTTTTCTATTTATTAAATATATTTCTCAGAACTGATAAAGTATTTATTAAGAAAAATGATGATTAATTTTAAATTGAAAAAATTGGACAAATTTAAAAAATATTTTACAATAATTTCATTTTTTATATTGAGAATTTAGATTTAAATATCTTTTATTTATTTTATGATTTTTAAATATAAAGTAAGCATAGATTTGAAATCTATGAAAGTACATATTTACAAATAAAAATAAATATATTTAAAATTATACAAAAAATTTTCAAGAAGAAATCTTCTATACCAATGGCTATTGAATACGTACTCCATTACATTATCATCATTAGCAGTACAGAATACTGTAATACCTACTGTACTTTTAAGAGTAACTTACGTAGTTGGCCACTATTTGACGCTATATATTAATGTTGTTGTGAATCGTCTGCTCGTTCTCCCTTGAATTTGAATGTTTTGGAAAGAAAAAAAAACAATTGAAATAAACAATAGTAACCGACATGCCACAGATACTTAACAAATTGATCAATACACTGTATTATTTTACATGCCATAAATTTGTGTCAACTTCCTTGGTTGTAAGAAATATGGGTAATGATCACATTTTGTTCAAAATACTATTATTTTTTTAGCTTACATTCTTGACGTTTCTCCTAATGTGCTTTAATTGAATACGATTGTTACTAAGTGTATAATAAAACTGGACACTTGTAGCCACCGTGAAACGATTTTATAGAAGGACGAACATACTTTCGAGCGGCGACAAGTTTGAGGTTACTCTGGACCAGAGAAAGTTGAAAACACCGCAGGGTAGAATATTTGAGGTGAACAGCAAACCTCTGGCCTTAGCGGTGGCCGCCGAATGGGACGCGCAGAAGGAGACAATCGACAGAGGAAGCATGCACTTGGTATAACCAATATAACTAAACATGAATAATTTAATTACTTTATGATTTTATATTATCATTCCATACTTCACATCACAACAAAATTATGATGGAATAATTGTTTTGAATCTAATAATTTATTATATTATTGTAATCATAGTTGATTTAACAGAAATTTATTCTATAATTATAAATATACTTGGTATTTCTAGAATTTAGTAATTTGGCATTATCAGTTCATATTTTGTATCTATTCTAAATACACATATAAACATATGCTAACATTTTTCTGGTTTTCTATTGTAGACATCCTTGTGCAATACTGTATTGGACAATCCGCACAATCGCACCAAAATAGATCTAGTCAATCACATAGTGAACTGTTTAGAAATAGACACAATTTTATTTTATTCGAGTGTAAGTACTTATATAAATATTTATATTTTTTCAATACTATTTTTAATGTGATAGTATCTTGATTACAATAGTTTTTATGATTTTAGGAAGTGGATGAACTGTATCAGTTACAAATTGAAAAGTGGGAACCAATAGTTCATTGGTTTTGTGAAGATTACAATGTAGAGATTATGAGAACTCAAAGTATACAAGCACCTACAGTATCTATGGAAACCAAAGCTGCATTAACGAAACATTTATTATCTCATAATTTCAATAGTATTTATGGTAATAATAGAATTTTGTAAGATAGAATGATCTATGTTTGTATATATATTAATTGCTATCTACAATAGGTCTTGTATATGCAATGGATGGATTAAAATCAGTTATTTTAACTCTTGCCACAGCTGCAAAAATAATTAATATCCCGGAAGCTGTAAGTCTTTCACGTCTAGAAGAAGAATATCAGGTATATATCACCTTCTCGATTGGATTTGTGATAAAAATGATTGTGAGAGTCCATTTTGTTTTCCGTTATCTGTTATAATATGTAAGTGATATATTTCTAGTGTATGTCGTTATTATGTTCTTTTTACGTAGATTTCCCATTGGGGCAACGTAGAATGGCATCATGAATACGGCAAACAAGATCTGCAGGCTCGTCTATCGGCGGCGATGTTATTTGTATATTTGAACTCTCATTCCGCTACTTCTCGACTAAAAAATGACGTCTCTAATGTAAGCTAATCTTATTTTAGATTATTAGAGAACCACTACATCGATAGATATAAAATTTGTAAGAACAACATGTTCACTGTAATATATGTATAACATAACATCGATGCCGACCGATTTCTCCCTTCGTGGTAATTAATAAGAACTGCGAGAGAGAAATCCCTTACGGACATCTAGAAGAACGTTTTCAGCGACGATTAGATAGGTTTAGATAGGAATGGAACAGTCAGGCCCAACCCATTCCTTTGTACAAATGCAACTAAAAAGACGATGAACAATTTTATATATAATATATAATAGATGGCATAATTTTGTGACCACATAGGGTATCTTATATTTCCTTATTATGTAAAAGGAGAAATTGTAATTTCTTTTATATATTACCTATACGATGCTCCATGATGTAAACATACCGCACCGTTCTTGCACGAGTGGCGAATGCATTCATTACGATTGCATTCACCTACGCCACGGCCGGTGGCAGGACTGGAACCAGTCAGTGGAAGAATTGTCGTGTCTGTACGCAATTCAACGTCGAATATACATCCGGAAAAGCCGGTATGAAGAGGGAGGTCGTGCGGCAACGTTTCAAAGTTTTTGGATTTATAACCACCTGAAAAAGAATGAGAAAAATGTCTTCTCTATATATTTTTATTCATTTATCTCCATTTCATTATTAAGTATTATTTCATTTCAACTTCTATTCATCTGAGATGTCTAGATTGTATTTAATGTCAATGTCAGATATGAGTGAGAATTGAATAGCTACATTTAGCGTAAAATATATGATAACAGACGTTCGGAGTGTTGACATTATGCCAAATGTCAAATCGCGTTTCTCTGCAACAACGTACCGATATAAAGAACAGGCGATACATCGAGTTGAGTCATAGATCCTACTGCCTGACCAGTCACGTTTTTGAGACCCTCTACAGCAAGCCACGCTTCCTTGCCTCTTCTTCCGATTCGAAGAGTATACGTTTTACTTTTACCAACCGATCCTGTCACGCTCAGAGAGGTCAACGAATCGCTAGTGAAGATTCTTCGCACTCCTATTAAAAGATTATAATATTGAAATACAATTTCTTTAAACTCTCTATGCCAAAACTTTATATAATTGGATATATATTTCAGTATATATTTTTCTATAAGAAAAATTTTTTTATTCTAGATAGATGCAAAGTAAATATAATAAATAGAGCAAATTACAAAATTCCTCATAATATTTGTTATATTATACTTAATATAATTATTTCCTAGATACTTTTTAGACTCATAAATAATCTATATCTATGCGATTATTGTTATTAAAGATACAACTGAAAAAGAGATGAGAGCTTCGAATATATGAAAGATTCTAATTTACACTTATTGATAACTCACCGGAACCCAAATCCCACGTAAGCATAATATAGCCGCGCACAAATGTTATCGAAAGATGGTCCGAAACATCACGGCGCGAGCTTCTCTGTCCGAAGTATGCTATCAGAGAGATTTGATCAAACGTGCGCGGGATGAGTCGCAGCTTCAATTCCATTGTGTCCTTTATCGAAGTAGACACGCCGTAGGCAATGTACGACGCGAAGCCAGGAACGAGGACCGAGAAAGCTGGCCGCACTAGAATGGCATCTGAGAAGACGATTCGCTTTATAAGAATTTTATTGCATTGCGATTTTATTGCATCGCTATTGCATCTATGGAATATCTATTGAATATTTTATTATTACGATTTACCTTCTTCGCAGAAAAGTCCGCGACTGCCGAGTGGACAGACGCAGATGAAACCAGTTCCCGGTGAGCTTACGCATGTGGCACCCATCGAGCAAGGATTGTCGTTGCATGCCGAATGTTCACATAAAGGGCCAGTATACCTGTAAACAGTTTTTGCTGCTGAGCAGGTTTTAAAAACTATTGCTTCTACACTAAAATTAATTAGTGTTAATCAAAATATTTTATCTATAATTTAGCTCTTACTTTCTTTATTACGTTCACACTACTTCCTTTTTATTAGAAATATATAAAGATGTATTAAAGAAGGGAAAAATTTACGTAAATTAATTTTATTACTATTTAATAGATATTTACCCCGCTATACATTTACAACGAATTCTTCCATCGCTTTCTTCACACGCGCCGAAATTTTGACATGGATTCGATAAACATAAAAATGATGTGCATTCTTCAATTTGGAACGTTTCTATAGAATCGTGAATAAAATGTCGCATAATTCCATTTATCTGCAATGTAATCGAAATAATTCTGAGCCACTCTGTATAAAACTAACAAACTTTTTATTGAGAAAGTTTTTAAAATAATTGAACGATCTTCTTAAATCTCCTAGAATGCTAAATAATTCTTTATTAAAACAAATTCCTTTACCTTCAAGGAATCCATGCAACCAATGAATCCCATAGCTACATGAGGAAAATAATGTGAGAACGTTAATGGAATGCCTCCTATGTACAAATTAGCGTATTTTGGTACCATTCCTCGTTGTGGCAGTATTTGTTCGCCGGTCACAGCCATAGTGCCGTTCACCAGCAATTTGGCAAAACATTTTTCGTTTTCATCATTGGCAACATATTGAAAACTGTGATAAAACGAAAAGAAATGTTTCTTTCCTGTTAATTAAAGTTAAAAGAATAATCTAATGCAAATGGAATACCTCATATCGATGCCCACTTCGTATCCATTATCGATAATCGCATCGATTTCACCAAGTAACATAGTTTCTAATCCACAAGAAAACTGGAACTTTAACGATCCGAGTTCCAAGTACACCAAAGAATATCTTTCATTGTCAAAATAAACGTGTAATATAATTCCATTTTTAAATGCCGTTTTAAGTTTAACGTAAATTCGAAGCGTTGCGTTCTTATTCTCGGTCATTATTACTTCGACGCGTTGTCTAACGAAAGATTTGCCATTAAAGGCCGCTTGCGTAATAGTCGAATCTGTCTTGCAACCATCGGCATACTGAATAACAATTATAATACAGACATATTAACTATTAATGTTTTATTTTGAGAGAAATTTAGTTTTAACTTTATTTATATTTTCCATATAGATTGCTTACAAAGATTAGCTAGAAAACCTATAGTTTCAGTTTCAAAATTCTTTACAAATTATTTGTTCATTGTTATTTATTATTATTTATTGTTTTTATTGTTATTAATCACTTACTTCAGTAATATTTCGCGGAGTTATCACGGTAGTACTCGTAGAACATTGAGTTCCGCGACAGGCGCCTATTTCTGTAGTATTAACTTCGATACTAGTAACAGTAGTTTGGCTTAACGAAGATATGCTAGTAGACGTTAACGAAGAAGGTACTGTGGAAGTGTCAAGTTTGATGGTCGAAGATAAGACCGATGGCAGTGTCGATGAGGTAGTTAAAGGTACAACAGTTCTTGGTGTATCCATGATCGTAGTTCCAAATTCAAATGTTCTATTTTGTATGGAATCCGTCGTATATCGAAATGTCGTATCGATGGGAAGTGTTACATTAGTAGCGTGATCCATGATAGCACTTGTGACGCTAGTTCTGTTATCCTTTTGGCCTTCATCTATTGTAGGTCGATAACTAAGAAACGGAACATATAGTGATATTATTATTAAATTAACACAAAAATTATGTGAATCTGTATATACGAAAAAACTATTGATTCGATCTTTTAAAGAATATATATTTTTTTTACATGTTATTGGATGAAAATTCACTCATGTGATATAAATTATATCGCTTATTATTGTGGCTAAACTGCAGATAATTAATATTATTATTTATCAAATACATTGATCTCAATATTCTTAATGAGAATTATTTCATTTCTTCTATCCTAATAAGAAAACTTCATTTACCTAGAACTTGTCATGTACTCCGTTACATCGTCTATTCTACTGGAAACCGGTAGACGTATCTTTGTGGTCTGACCATAATCGTCAGGCTCTTTAGTAATTTCACCGTCATGGATTGATCTCCCAGTTGGCAAATAAACTTCTGTTTCAGTCTCATGGAGGTAGCCTTCAGTAACAGTGATCGACGATATCGTTACGGGCTCCAACGTAACGAAATCATCTCGAGTTGAACTCGTTGATGGAACTTCAGTAAGAAAAACGCTGCTAACACTAGAATCTTCGTACTTTGATGTCGTAGTTTTCTCCATAATTGTATATCTCTTCGTATAAGGTGAACTACTTGTTCTCGGAGATGTCGAATAAGTGGCAAAGCTGATAGTCGATGGAGATGATAAAGATGGAGAAGATAAAGATGTGTCCACTAGCGAAGTCGATTCTTCAGGTGAAACTATGGCAGTTGTAGTTCCGATTAAACTCGTTCCTTGTTCAGATGTGTCTTCCATTTCTAGAGTAGTTGTCGATGGAAAACTATATTCGCACATAGAACCACCGTAATTCGGTGGACACGCACAAGTGAAACTATTGATACCATCGATACAGGTACCTCCATTATCGCATTGTGCAAATTTCGATTCACAATCGTCATATCTTAGCTCACAAAATACACCATGATAATCGGGTACGCAGTAACAAACTGAACGATCGTCCTCCAGTAGACATACTGCTCCGTTTTGACAAGGATTCTCTTTGCACGGCACGATTGCCTTATCGCAATCTTTGCCAGTAAAACCTTTAATAAAAACAATAAAATGTTCATTGAAATATTTATATGTTGTAATTAATGTTAGGAAAATAAGGAAAGTGGTATATATTATTTTTTAAATTCTTTAAAGAGTGCTCGCTCTAAAAAGATAACGATACTTGTAACTTCCGAAATTTAATTATGTTTCATAAGTTATTTGTGCTATTTCTAGACAAAAATATCTGTAACTCATGGCAAGAATAATTTATTTACCGAATAAACAAGCACAAGTGTAGGAAGAGGGAATATTGATGCAGAGACCACCATTTCTGCATGGTGACTCCAAGCATTCGTCAACGTCCACCTCACAGAGAACACCGGTCCATCCTTTTCAAAGTGAAATCGTGAATATGAGAAGAGAAAGTACCATTATGATAGAATAAAAAATGCAGAGGAGCAAAATATTTTGTACGCACGTAAGTAGTTTTACGAATTTCCTACCTTTGCGACAACGACAATAGAATGAGAAACCGGGTCCTTCGATGCATTCACCGGAATTTTTGCACATTGTCTCGTTGCAGACTGACGCATCGATCTCGCAATATTCTCCTAGAAATAAAACAAGAAAATAAAAACGTGAAAATTTTTTTAATAAACATATTTGTCACACACCTGAGTATCCATCCAAACATTGACAAGTGATGCCATCATAATCAACGCAGGTACCATTATTAAGGCACGGATGATTCGAACACTCGCTATATCTTTGTTCACAATTTGCACCTATTTTTAATATAAAATCGTATTATTTATTTTTATTAATTCTCTTGTATTAATTTGTGACGAACAATATGACGAAAAAAAAAATGAATTACCTACAAACCCATCGGGACAAGTACAATTATATGCGGCAACACCATCGTTGCATGTGCCACCATTAAGACAAGGATCTGACCAACATTCATCCCAATTAATTTCACAATTAATCCCCGTGTAACCATCGATGCAGTAACAAGAATAAGTGCTGTGTCATACACATGAAAAAATTACAAAGTGAAAATAAATAGATATTTTAATAATTTTAATTATTTTGATACATATATATTTTTAAATTAATTAGTATAATACTATATATGTAACAAGAATAAATAATATTAAATCTTTATAAATTATTTTTATTCTAATATTTATTATACATTAAAAATATATGGTTT